AAGTAATGCTTGTCCAAGAGGCCCCTTTCTACCTGATGGAGAAAAGCAAGTTTGAGGAATTGTAACTCCTTATGAAGGCGTGTAGTGTTGAGACAATCTGGGGAAACTCAGTCGGGGGATGGGGATTGGGGGGAGGGGAATCGCAGACTATACTGAAGTGTATCATAACATTCAACATTTAAAACAAGTCACTCAAACAAGAGAAGCAAGTTTGAAGTGAATGAGCCAAGCACTCCAAAAAGTGCACCAGTTATACCTTCCCAAGAAGAAACTTCTCCAACGTGAGAAACAGAAACATGGCAACAGGACAGAAAGCCCATGGCAGGAGTGATGAGGAAACACAGCAGTGTCCACCCAGACGTCACAAGAGAGGGAATGCAAAGAAGAAAGCACGCTAGCACACAAGAGCTGGCAGAGCTCAACAGAGACCAAAGTTTTCCAACGTGAAAACATCAGCAAATACGAGATCAGGATTTTCTACAAGGCACCATTGTGCAAACCCACCCTGACAGAATCATTCCTGAACGTACCTGTGGTGATGAGAAGTCCAAAATCAAGTTGAGGATACAGCTGGAAGCAGGGAGGTGGTTTCTCTGGGTGGCTACAGCCAAACGGAGGCCTTGAGCCTCACAGTGTTGCGTTTATATCGTAGAACCGTTGTGGTTACAGTGATTCGTCTGTGGAGTCACCTGACCCTCCTTGTCCCTTTTAAATTGGTAGAAGTCTGACCAGAACAGTGATACAATATACCACACATTTTTGAATCAGGAAGGAAGTGAAGGCGAATAGTAACCTGTGGTTTTCTGGTTTTTTTTCGTCAGAGGAACAAAATCCCAAGCAGCTGCTCTGTCACTTGTGCTATTGAGCATGAGAAAATCAGAAATTTGGGGCAAACTACAATTAAGTAAGAACAAACTTTGAGTTTGGAACTTAACAATATCAGAAGAATACTATGTTTTGAAACCCCTGAATGACTTGTAAAGGAGCCCAGAATCCTCATCTTTTCAAAGATGCTATTAAAACAAAAGTTAGAATATTGCACAGAGCTTGAGAAGCAAGATTCAGTCTCTGATTGTCCTGCTGTCCTAGTAACACTGAGTAACAGGTATCACATCTCTTGTTAAAGGCAGGCACAGAGGAAGCTCCCTTGAAGCTTAAAGCCCATCATGTGGCATGACAGTGTTGAATAAAAGCCTCATTAATTCCTTGATCAGTGAGATGGTTAAGGAAACAAAATTGTTGAGCCACTGTTCTTGTCATTCTATCTCAGAATGAGCTAAGAGTCATGCACACAGCCATGTAGTAGCATTTGCTGAAATATAATAACTCAAGACTAACAAAATTTTTTTTTCTTCAGGTGAAATTCCTAAGCAGCTTTCAAAGCACAGGGTGCATTGAAAGCAAGTGATGGCATGATTCAATGCACACGGATAGAAACCCAAGGTTCCTGGAGAGCCACAGGACTGGACATTCACGTATGGGGTCATTAAGTAAAAGATGTATTAGATGAGTGTTTGAAAGGCAGAGGGACAGGAAAACATGCCCCTGGTGCTGGTTCACTCCCCAAATGGTAGCAGAAGCCAGGTGGGAGCCAGGTTGGAGTCTACCAGCAGGAATTTCATCCTGGTCTCCCATGTAGATGGCGGGGAAAGAGAAAGGGAGAGAGCGCGAGAAAGCGCGTGCGCGAGTGAGAAAGAGAGAGAGAGAGAGAGAGAGAGAGAGAGAGAGAGAGTGAGAAAGGGACGGTGTCCCATCATCTGGTTCACTTCCCAAAAGGGTACAGAGTCTGGTACCAGACCAGTGTGAGGTTAGGCGGTTGGAGTTTCATTCATGTGTCCCTTGAGTTCTAGCCTCCATGTACTTGGCCCCAGCACCGCTGCTTTCCCTGGGGCATGAGCAGAGAGCTGGTTCAGAAATGGATCCATCAGGACTACAACCAGAGTCCCTTGGTGTTGCTGGAGCCACACCCAAGAGCCACTCCCAATAGCTTTTTAGGATAAGATTCTCCTGGAACTCCTTGGAGATTCATCACCAAATCCTTTCAGGCAACAGTACTCTCACCCACTAGCCAAGGAACAAAAAACGAATTTCAGTTTGTTTTTTTATAGAGAATTTATTATTATTATTATTTTTTTATTGCCAAGTCAGATATACAGAGAGGAGGAAAGACAGAGAGAAAGATCTTCTGTCCAATGAGTCACTCCCCAAGTGAGTGTAATGGCTGATGCTGTGCTGATCCAAAGCCAGGATCCCGGAACTGCTTCCAGGTCTCCCACACGGGTGCAGAGTCCCAAGGTTTTGGGCTGTCCTCGACTGCTTTTGCAGGCCACAAGCAGGAGTTGCATGGGAAGTGGAACTGCCAGGATTAGAACCGGAGCCCATATGGGACTCTGGTGCGTTCAAGGCTAGGACTTAGGCGCCAGGTGGTCTTTAGCCAAAGGAGAATTCCTTTGGAAAGTATTCAAGTCATGAAGTTGGGGACTAGGTGTGTTGCCATTGCTTTTGATGCCAGCATCTCATAGTACTGCCAGGGTGAGCCCCAGCTGCTCTATCTACCACTTAGCATTGAGTTGCAGTGAACGTGCATGAATTGTGGTGCAATGTGGAAAAGAAATAGGGCCTGGCTGGTTGGCCTAGCGGCCTCAATCCTGGCCTTGAATGCTCTGGTTTTCCATACGGGCACCAACTTTCATCCCTGCAGTTCTGCTTCCCATGCAACTCACTGCTTTTGGCCTGGTAAAGCAGGAGAGGACAGTCCACAGCCTTGGGTCCATGCACCCATCTGGGAGACCTGGCTGAAGTTCCAGGCTGCTGGCTTCAGGTTGGCACAGCTCTGGCCCTTGAGGTCACTTGGGGAGTGAAGTATCTGACAGAAGATGTTCCTCTCTATCTGTCCTCCTGTCTGTATAGATGACTTTGCAGTCAAAAATGAACTCAATCTTACAGGCAAAGAAATAGTTCTATGGTCTTCAGGATAGAAATGCTGGCAGACCTTTGTGCCAGCAGAATTCTGCTCAAGTGCTTCTGCTTCTCCAGCCCACCTTCCTAAGAACTGAGGGCATTGCTTGTTGCCCCTGGGTGCCCCCAGCGACTTCCTTCCAGGGGGACTGCGTTTCCAGTGAGCATGGGGATGGGGGTGCTGCCTGGGCTTTCCTAGTGTGTTCACCAAAGAGCTATTCCCATCACGGCTCATGGAGAGTTGCAAAATCATGCGGTGAAGATAGCCCTGTGACACCAGCTCGTTACAAATGGCACTGTAGGCTCTGGTGGCATAGCACAGCGGTTCAATTCCTTGCCTTGAACATGCCAGGATGCCATATGTGATGTGGTTCCCATTCTGGCTCCCTGCTGTCCATCCAGCTCCCTGCATGTGGTCTGGGACTGCAGTCGAAAACAGCCCAAAGCTTTGGAATCCTGCATCTGCATGGGAGACCCAGAGGAAGCTCCTGGCTCCTGGCATCGGATTGGGTTCAGCTCCAGCACTTGCAGCCGCTTGGGTAGCGAGCCATTGGATGGAAGATCTTCCTCTCTGTCTCTGCTCCTCTCTGTAGACCTGCTTGTCCAACAAAAATTAATAAATCTTTATTTAAAAAAGAGTCACCTGTCACAGCCATTTCGGAAAGTGTCCAGGCCAATGGAGCATCTGCATCTCACCCTGCATTTCCAATGTACAGAGAAATCATTGCCCCGAAGTAGACAACAATGTTTGGCAAACTGAATCCCTAGGCCTACAGATGTAGGCAGTTTCCTGTTGAGGTCTTGTAAAATGAAGTGACGTGTCAAAGGTGCTTGTAAAGGAGAATAATTTTCCAAACAGATACATACCTGCGAGTTTGGGCTCTTGGGATTCCTTCTCGATCGCCAAGATTCATTGAATTCACACTTGTGATGGTCAGAATTGGATGGAAGCCTAGGACTGGAGGTTAAGGGATGGGGGCGGATGGGTCTACCTTCAGCTTGGTACAATTGCTCTGAGCCGTTTAATTGGCTTTTGCCAAAGGCAGGCTAAGAGACAATGAAGGCTGACCATAGGAAATCAGCCTGGCCCGGGCAACTTTTCCCATGCAGAGTGCCCCCCACACAGTGTGTCAACGACAAAGCAGTGCATCCTGCTGCATAGCATGCTGGAAGCAGCCCTCCACAAACAACCCTGCCCGAGTCCCCGACCTCGCCAAAAGACTACTTGAGAGACTGGTTGAGTTGTACAATTGTGTGCTTTATTTGACAAGAAAAGGAAAGCAAGCAAATACAGAATAACGGTAGCGAAATATTCACAAGAGGCTGATGTTCAGACAACCGTGCTTCCATTTCACATATGTCCAAGCCCACTGTTCTTTGGTCTTCTAGGCTTTCAGATCATCTATTTGCCTGGGAATAGGTGATGATCTGATGAATCACACACACACGCCCACACCCTCTTCTGTATTTTCAAGTCAGAGTTGCAATGCATCTTCCATGTGCTGGCTCTGTCATCCATGGCGGCAGTGGCCAGGCCAGGCCAGGCTAGGGTGAAGACAGGATCCTGGAGCTTCCTGCTTGTGTGCCACGTGGATGCAAGAGCTCCTGTCTCGAGGCCATCTTCTGTCTTCAATTAGAGAGTAAGAGGGAGCTGGGTCCCAGGTGGAGCAGCCAGGTCTCAAGGCAGTGTCCGCACGGCATGCCAGCATTGCAGAATCGCCTCCTGACTGCTTCTCATCCCAAGATTGCCGTGAGCCAGGCTTTTGTGTTCCAGAGACTTGTCATGTTCCAGAGTGTGCTCCAAGTCCCCAAGAGGCAGTCAGTCCAACCTCCTGTGTCTGGCTGGAGGGTGGAGGTCCGCTGGAGGAACCTTCTGTAAGGCTCAGGTTCTCGTCCCAGGCTGGGGGAGGATCTGAAATGCCCTTTGGAGAGGAGGGCTCACTGCTGAGTCTTGCCAGGCGGGTCGTGTCCTGGCTGGGACCTTTCCTGGATGGGAGGATGGGTTACCTGGCATAGTCACAAGTCCGCAAAGTGAAGGCGACTCAGGTCTTCCAATGCACCTCCCTGTGGCTGGAGCCAGAGGGGATCCCCAGCAAGAAGATGTTCGTATGGGACTTGGGCAGCTGCGGGGGCAGGCAAGGTTGCACAGTTGTCAGAGTGGCCCTGAAGCACATGGTGCTGGTGGTTTCCAGCAGGCAGGCAGTCAGTCCCTAGTAGAGACACCAGAGGGACTTGTCAAGGGCTCCAGGACGTTGGGAGGAGGAGGGAGAGGCAGAAAGTGGGCGAAATCCACTGGGATGTTGTGCAGGGACAGCAGACAAGGCCCAGGGTGCATGGCAGCATCAGGATCCAGTGGTGGTCCCAAGGCTTGGAGCTCGGGGTCGCAGCAACATCCAGAAGGGTTGGCAGGAGACTGAAAGTCCAGCGTGGAGTGGAGCGAGTCTGCGGGTGAGGCTGCTTCCCACGCCAGGGGTTGTGCTTCAGCGCCAGGAGCTGTGTGAGCAGACTGGGACTGAAGCCGCCTCTTGGTTGGCAGCTGCGGGAGGGGCTGGTGAGTTTCTGGTTCCTGAGGAAGAGGAGGAAGATGGTGCTGATGTTGACCACGACCTCGCCTGAGCCCACGTCCTTGTCCACGACGGCCTGGAGCAGGTGACAGCTGCTGTGCACCTACAGAAGTCTCCATTGCCCGTGTGCGCCTGCGGCGTCGGCCTCGGCCCCCTCGGGCCTGCACAGGCTGCAGGGAAGGTGCCTGGGCCGAGGAGAGATGCCTCAGGCCCAGGGCTGCCCTCCGGAGCTCGTGATCCTCTTTCCAGGCCTTCAGCCCCTTGCTGGCTGCTCCCGTGGGCCCCTTGCTGGCTGCTCCCGTGGGCCCTGGCAGGTTCACAGGCGCCCGGGCCTGGCTGTGCTGCCACAGCTCATAGTGCTCGGGTTGCTGGAGGCGCTCGAAGGCATCCATGGCAAAGGACACCCTAGCCTCCCCGCAGCTGCACTGGGAGGCCGCCTTGCCATAGTCGATCCAGCGCAGAGTGGCGAAGTTGATGGCTTCGGCGCAGTTGAAGCCGTGGCTGAAGCCCGCGTGGTAGCCATAGGGGAAGGTGACCATGAACTCGCCGGGCTGCTGAGTGACACGCTGGCACGGAATGCCGTTCTCCCGCAGCACACTGGGTGAGATGAGGGCTACCTTGTGGCGCAGGAAGGCCCGGCAGGCTTGGGCGCTGGCAGGGAAGAGCTGTGCAGCCAGCTCCTCCAGCCGCCGCCCGTGCTCAGGGGGCACCGAGTACCACGTCTTGGGCTCGCCAAAGTGCAGGTAGTTGACGCTGTAAAGGTCCATGTCCTCCGTGTGCCAGGCGAACGTGGTCTTCCACATGCCGAAGTAGAGGTAGGGGGTGTTGACGCCCTCGATGAGCACGCCGCACTCCTGTTGTAGCAGGTCGAGAAGGGAACCCAGGTTTCTGAGGTTCCAGGCCGTGGTGTGGTGGTGGAAGAGCGAGCCGCTGACGTCGGCCCCGTAAATGGGGGGAGCCCCATAGGCGCGGCTCCTCCAGTAGAGTCTCTCCACTTGTTCCAAGCTGAGCTGGGCTGGGGCCCGGTATTTGTCGCTGTTTGCCAGTTGGCGATAGTCGCTCAGGCTCATGGCTTTCTTCTTCTTGTGGTACTGAGTGAAGACCCCCGCCTTCCCGGAGACCAGCTGTTGCATGGGGCTGGGGATGACGATGTCGCCGATGTCGTCGTAGGTCTGCCTGGCGCTCCACTGCGGGGGTGGGATGACCTTGGCCAGGCCTGCACGGTGTGCACCCTGGGCTTCCATGGCAGCGATGAACGAGGTGAAGTCCACGAATTCCTCCCAGCTGGGGCGGAAGGTCATGATGCTGCCGCAGTTGGGGTCCTGGACACCAGAGTTGTCAGGCTGCATGGCTGCAAGAGAGCAAGTGCCAGACTCTGAGTCCTGTGTGCCTTCTACATGTGCCTCCCGGGAAGGTCCCACAGACAAATTGGGCCACTATTTTCTTGTGGTTGAAATGGATCGTGGTTTGTGTTGGCGGGTGTGGGGGGTGGGGCAGGGGTGAGGACATAAGCTCTATCCCTGTTGAAAGAGAAGCCCCAGTTCGTGTGGCACTGGCCCCACTTGATGTTGGGATGCCTACTGGTGGACGTGGAAAGCCATGGAGGAGGCCCAATGTGTTGGGGTGCTGCACCCATGGGAGAGACCCTGAGTGTCTCCTGCCTCCTGCCTGTGGCTCCCTTCCTGCTGGCTGGAGCTCAGTTCAGCTGTGGTCACTGTGGCCATGGGAAGAGACAGCCAGAGGACCAAGATCTTTCTCTCTGTCTCTTCATCTCTGTGTAAAATCTGCCTTTGCAAAAGAAAGAAATTAATGCCTGTCCAAGAGGCCCCTTTCTACCTGATGGAGAAAAGCAAGTTTGAGGAATTGTAACTCCTTATGAAGGCATGTAGTGTTGAGACAATCTGGGGAAACTCAGTCGGGGGATGGGGATTGGGGGGAGGGGAATCCAAGATTATACTGAAGTGTATCATAACATTCAACATTTAAAACAAGTCACTCAAACAAGAGAAGCAAGTTTGAAGTGAATGAGCCAAGCACTCCAAAAAGTGCACCAGCTATACCTTCCCAAGAAGAAACTTCTCCAACGTGAGAAACAGAAACATGGCAACAGGACAGAAAGCCCATGGCAGGAGTGATGAGGAAACACAGCAGTGTCCACCCAGACGTCACAAGAGAGGGAATGCAAAGAAGAAAGCACGCTAGCACACAAGAGCTGGCAGAGCTCAACAGAGACCAAAGTTTTCCAACGTGAAAACATCAGCAAATACGAGATCAGGATTTTCTCCAAAGCACCAATGTGCAGACCCGCCCTGACAGAATCATTCCTGAACGTACCTGTGGTGATGAGAAGTCCAAAATCAAGTTGAGGATACAGCTGGAAGCAGGGAGGTGGTTTCTCTGGGTGGCTACAGCCAGATGGAGGCCCAGAGCTCCACAGGGCCGCCTTTATATAGCTTGGAACAGCTCAAGATCCCATCAGTGCAGAGCCTACAACATCACTGATTGATACACCCTGTCTTTGTCTTGACTCCTCCCTCTTCAGGTGAAATTCCTAAGCAGCTTTCAAGGAGCAGGGTGCCTTGAAAGCCAAGTGATGGGAGAAGCAAGGCACACGGATAGAAACCCAAGGTTCCTGGAGAGCCACAGGACCAGACAAAAACATATGGGGTCATTTTGGAGAAGATGTAGTGGATGAGTGTTTGAAAGGCAGAGGGACAGGAAAACATGCCCCTGGTGCTGCTGGTTCACTCCCCAAATGGTAGCAGAAGCCAGGTGGGAGCCAGGTTGGAGTCTACCATCAGGAATTTCATCCTGGTCTCCCGTGGAATTTCCAGGAAAGAGCCAGAGAGAGAGAGAGAGAGAGAATGGACAGTGTCCCATCATCTGGTTCACTTCCCAAAAGGGTACAGAGTCTGGGACCAGACCAGTGTGAGGTTAGGAGGTTGGAGTTGCACTCATGTGTCCCTTGAGTTCTAGCCTCCATGTACTTGGCCCCAGCACCGCTGCTTTCCCTGGGGCATGAGCAGAGAGCTGGTTCAGAAATGGATCCATCAGGACTACAACCAGAGTCCCTTGGTGTTGCTGGAGCCACACCCAAGAGCCACTCCCAATAGCCTTTTAGGATTAGGTTCTCCAGGAATTCCTTGGAGATTCATCACCAAATCCTTTCAGGCAGCAGTATAGTCACCCCCTATCCAAGGTACAAAAAATGAAATACTTTTTAAAAAAGATTTTATTATTATTATTCTTTTTATTGCCAAGTCAGATATACAGAGAGGAGGAAAGACAGAGAGAAAGATCTTCTGTCCAATGAGTCACTCCCCAAGTGAGTGTAGTTGCTGGTGCTGTGCCAATCTGAAGCCAGGATCCCGGAACTGCTTCCAGGTCTCCCACACGGGTGCAGAGTCCCAAGGTTTTGGGCTGTCCTCGACTGCTTTTGCAGGCCACAAGCAAAAGTTGCATGGGAAATGGAGCTTCTGGCATTAGAACTGGCGCCCATATGTGATTCTGGCTCATTCAAGGCGAGGACTTAGGCGCCAGGTGGTCTTTAGCCAAAGGAGAATTCCTTTGGAAAGTATTTAAGTCATGAAGTTGGGGACTAGGTGTGTTGCCATTGCTTTTGATGCTCACATCTCATAGCACTGCCAGGGTGAGCCCCAGCTGCTCTATCTACCACTTAGCATTGAGTTGCAGTGAACGTGCATGAATTGTGGTGCAATGTGGAAAAGAAATAGGGCCTGGCTGGTTGGCCTAGCGGCCTCAATCCTGGCCTTGAATGCTCTGGTTTTCCATACGGGCACCAGCTTTCATCCCTGCAGTTCTGCTTCCCATGCAACTCACTGCTTTTGGCCTGGTAAAGCAGGAGAGGACAGTCCACAGCCTTGGGTCCATGCACCCATCTGGGAGACCTGGCTGAAGTTCCAGGCTGCTGGCTTCAGGTTGGCACAGCTCTGGCCCTTGAGGTCACGTGGGGAGTGAAGTATCTGACAGAAGATGTTCCTCTCTATCTGTCCTCCAGTCTGTATAGATGACTTTGCAGTCAAAAATGAACTCAATCTTACAGGCAAAGAAATAGTTCTATGGTCTTCAGGATAGAAATGCTGGCAGACCTTTGTGCCAGCAGAATTCTGCTCAAGTGCTTCTGCTTCTGCAGCCCACCTTCCTAAGAACTGAGGGCATTGCTTGTTGCCCCTGGGTGCCCCCAGCGACTTCCTTCCAGGGGGACTGCGTTTCCAGTGAGCATGGGGATGGGGGTGTGGCCTGGGCTTTCCTAGTGTGTTCACCAAAGAGCTATTCCCATCACGGCTCATGGAGAGTTGCAAAATCATGTGGTTAAGATGGTTAAGACAGCCCTGAGACACCAGCTCGTTACAAATGGCACTGTAGACTCTGGTGGCATCGCACAGTGGTTCAATTCCTTGCCTTGAATGTGCCAGGATGCCATATGTGATGTGGTTCCCATTCTGGCAGTCCTGCTGTCCATCCAGCTTACTGCATGTGGTCTGGGACTGCAGTTGAAAACAGCCCAAAGCTTTGGAATCCTGCATCTGCATGGGAGACCCGGAGGAAGCTCCTGGCTCCTGGCATCGGATTGGGTTCAGCTCCAGCACTTGCAGCCGCTTGGGTAGCGAGTCATTGGATGGAAGATCTTCCTCTCTGTCTCTGCTCCTCCCTGTATATCGGCATTTCCAATAAAAATGAATGAATCTTTCAAAAAAACCCCACAAATCATATGACACTCTAGCTCTGCGATTCCCCCTAAGAACCCACACAAGCTGGGTCGGCAGGAGTGAAGCATCAGACAGATTTCAACAGAGTGTTATGGTCACAATGTTGACTCCTACTCTCCTGCCTTATCACTTTCTTTCTGTTTTTCATGATAGGGTAAGTAATGCACAGTCTGTCGGTGTAGGCAACTTCCTAAGTTGGATTGCACCTATGCAAATGTTGCATTGCTGGAGAAAAGCATCTAATAGCTGGTGGGAATTCTTTTCCTGGTTTATCTCAGCCCTGTGTTAAGTTTACTAGTGTGTTGGGTCTGGTGGCGTGGCCTAGCGGCAAAAGTCCTTGCCCTGAACCCACAGGGATCCCATATGTGTGCCGGTTCTAGTCCCAGCAGCTCTATGTCCCATCCAACTCCCTGCTTGTGGCCTGGGAAAGCAGTCGAGGATGGCCCAAAGCTTTGGGACCCTGTACCCGTGTTGGAGACCCAGAAGAAGTTCCAGGATCTTGGCTCTGGATCGGCATAGCATCCTCCGTTGCGCTCACTTGGTGAGTGAATCATCCGACAGAAGATCTTCCTCTTTGTCTCTCCTCCGCTGTATATCTAAGTTTTCAACAAATATTTAAATCTTTAAAAAAAAGTATACTTGTCTGCCAGTTATTGCCCTATTCTTTTCATCATCATCATTATTATTATTGTTACTATTGAATACGTGGGCACAGACAGCCATAAGCTCCACACATGTCCTTGGGATCTCCATGCAAGCATCTGTGATCCCGGGTGGGCACATATCACTCCAATTTGACATAGTGCACAATGGGAAGAATGGACTTAGCGATCTGCATGTTTGTGGACATGGAGTGGTCGTTATACTTGCTCATGGAAACAGGTTTGGAGATGTTTTGGAGGGTGAACGGTTGAGGGAGATTGTGAGAGGTGAGGAGTATCTTCTTGGAGACTTGCACCAGCCAGGAAATGAGGGAAGTAAGACCGAGTTGGTTTAGAGCAGGGAAACTAGAGAAACTTTTTGGGACCAAACCTATATACCCACCTCCATGGGAGTCCTGAGCTTGGCTTGTCAGTGTCAACCAGCATCAAGCCCTGGAAGCGTGGACTGCCTGGCAGGACTCGACCACCATACCCACCAGTGAGTACTGGGAAACGGGCTGGACTAAGTTAGGTGTGGCCATGACCCTGACGAGCACAGTGGGAGCAGATTTTTGTGGAGAATCAAAGGCTCTCTCCTGTGGGATTGCCAGAGCAGCTGTTTTGCTTGTGTGCTGGGGTGGTGATAGGCAGAACTAGGCTGACTGTGGAACTCACCAACATTCCAGGGTACTGGTGTTTGGGCTAGTCTGTTCTGATACATAGGTGCACCCAAGAATTGGATGTGAGGCTGGCTGGGTCACAACACCCACCAGCACACACTGCCAAGTAGGGACCTAGCACTCGCTGGCATGTGTAAGACCTGGGTCTTGGATTGTGCCTGTTGGGGACCTTGGTGACCTCTCATGGTTAGCTCTAGCTCCCATTCATGAGGACGTGATATGGGGCTCTGTGTTAGTCAGGCTGGTCAGGGCTGCTTCACCTGTTGGCTAGTGTGTCGGTTGGCTCTGTAGGGACCAGACTGATCAGAACTAGAGCAAATCATAGCACAGTGGCATGCTTCAGAGCCAGGATGGTGTGTAGGCCATGCTGGGCTAGGCTAGGCTCTCATACCTACAGTTGGCATGCAAGCCAGGGATGGGACATACTGGGCAGGGCTAGGATATAGCACCCACCAGTGAGAACTGGAATTGGGGTGTGGCAGACTAGGCCAAGCTTCAGCTTCTAATGGCAAAGATCAAGTCATGGGAAGGTCTGTGCAAGGCTGTGTCAGAAATCTTTCTTTGAGAGCAGGTCTGGTCAGAGAATTAAGGAATTAAGGGGATACACCAGCTGGGCTTCAGTTCCCACTGGTGAGCACAAGAGCTGGAATGAGGGGTGGTGAGCTGGACTGGACATGGCTGCAGTATCCATGGGCATGAGTGTGAACTCAGTCTGGGCTGTGCTAGACTGGGCAAGGCTCTAGCCCCCACTGATGCTGTCAAGAGACAGGGTGAATATAGGATGGTCTCTACAGCCACTGAATCATATGAAAGCTGTGTCAGAGGGTGGGCAAGGAAAGGATGGGCTGCAGCCCGCATGAATAAGGGCCAGAATAGGTGTGGGCTGGTCAGGCAAAGCTGCCATACCTGGCAGGACAGGAGGTAAAGCAAGTCAGCCTTGGCTAAGAACCCACCAGTGTGTGATGTTTGCTCCTGGCAGGTAAACCTGATAGAGGATCTTGGGGACCTCCTCTGTCAAGATGTATTCCCTGTAGGTGAGCTCAAACCAAGGTATGGATCAGTCCAGACCAAGCCTGGATACAGTACCTGCCAGCATACGTGTGGGGCAGGTGTGGGGCAGGCCAGACTGGGCTGGTTCATAGCACCTAGTGTCAGATGTGAGGATCAGGCTGGAGTGCAGGCCAGGCTTGGCTGGACTACAACACCAGCCAGTTTACATGAGGGCTGGGACTGGGGGCCATCCAGGCTGGGCTAGGCTGCATTACTCTACAGCATGAGCTGGAATGGGGGCAGATAGGGCTGAGCCAGGCTACAGTACTGGGCAGCAAATGCAGAGGTGAGGCAGGCCATGCTGGACTGAGACACAGCACCCACCAGCACATGTGGGCCAGGGAAAATGGGGAGGTAAGCACAGTAGGGGGGGCTGTGGGGGCTCCCCTGCTGGGTCGCTCTTCTGCTGGTGAGTGTGAGAGCTGGGACTGTGGGCAGACCATGCATGAGCTAGAGTAAGTGTAGGCTGCTTAGGCTTTGGCACAGCATTAGCCTACAGCTGCTGGAACTGGGGGCAAGTCCTGTGAGGCTAGACCTCCTGGAAAGTGTAGTCTCTGGTTTGGGAGAGAGCATAGTAAGGAAGTTGTGAGCACCTTTCTGATATGCCGCAGCTCCCACCGGAAAGCATGAGAATCAGTTGTGGAGGCAGTTCTGGCTGCACAAGCAATGACACCCATCAGCATGAGTATGGGCTGGATAGTGGGGTGGTCAGACTGAGCTAGGCAGCAATGGCCATTAATGTGGGACAACTAGATGCGTCTACTACACACGCAGGCATGGGCAGGAAGCAGGGCTGGGGTCAGGCCTGTGAGGGTTATCAGGAGTGTCTGACTAGGCTGCAGTTCCCGCTGGTCTGCATGAGGGCAGGGTTGAGTTGGGCAACATTATCTGTTGGTTTGCGTATAGGATGGGACTGGGAACGAAACTGACCCGGTGATCGCCACTAGCAGTAGGTGTAAGCTGATATGGGTGATAGACTGTGCTGGACCCTCCCTGGCTTCTGTGACCAGGCTGGAGCTATGCTCAGGTCTGCCCATTGTCAGCAGTTGAAGTAACCTAGTGGATTCAAGATTCCTCCCCCTGCCCTCTTTCTCCTTCTTTCTCTAAGATATGGCTTTTCAATCAAAATAAATAAAAGCTTTAAAATATAATTTTTATCTTTTTGAAGAAAAGCATTTTCAAATTAATAAATTATGTTTTTTAAAGAGTTCACAAATTACAACTTAAAATAAGTAAGTTTTAGCATGTCAGATGCAGAAATATGGCTACAGAGTCAGTAACCAAAGATTGGAATGAGAAACACATCTGCAGTGTTAACTCAGACATGAAAAAGGAGAAGATGCATATTAGGACTCAATAGATGGAATAGCTCAATATAGAAATGTTTTCCATGTTAAAGATTAAGCAAATATGTGATGTATTTTCTCCAAAGCACAAATAAGAAAGCTTGTTTTAATAGAATCATCCATTAAAGTACCTGCACACGCAGAGAATCCAGAACCAGGGGAGGACACAACTGGATCCAGGGAGGTGATTTCTCTTGGTGGATGCAGCCAAAGTGAGGCCCATACTTCAATGCTTTGGAAGAGTTCGAATGCCATCAGTGCTTGCTCACGGCATCACTGTTTTATACTTTGTCTTCGTCTTTATTCCTCCTTCCTTTTGTCAAATAGGGAACTGAAAGCCAAGTGATGGAAATGGAAATTGCATAAATATGTGGCAGTAGTGATCTACTTCCCCCCATTTCTCGACCGTGATTAGTAGTCCACATGGAATGCAACCTTTTCAACTATTCAAACACCACCAAAAATAAAAATGTGCTTATTATGTAGAAAGGAAAGGATAACAGAATAAAGAAAAATTGAATGTGGCTTAATACTATTGTGATTATTATGTGTAGACAACTGTGTGTTGCCTTTTCAAATGTTCCTAGCCCAATATTTTTATTATTAAGATTTATTTTTTAAATTATTGTCAAATCAGATTTACATAGTGAAGGAGATACAGAGAGAAAGATCTTCCATCTGCTGGTCCTCTTCCCATGTGGCCACAATGGCCAGAGATGAGCCAATCCAAAGCAAACAGCAGAAGCCTCTTCTAGGTCTCCCACATGGGTACAGGGTCCCAAGGCCTTTGGCCATCATCTATTGCTTTCCGAGGCCACAGCAGGGAACTTGATGGGAAGTAGAGTAGTAAGGATATGGACCAGTGCTCCTATGCGATCATAGCACATGTAAGACAAGAAATTTACCCACTAGTCTATTATACCAGGTCCCCAATATTTTTTTATTCTAGGCTTTCTAGAGAATCTAACTGCCTGGGAAGAGTTTGCACTCTTGATAAATAACAAGGTGGAATCTGGCTTTTAATAGCAAAAACATTTTTTAACATGATTTTTTTTAAATTAGAAAGTATTACAAAGAGAAAGGATGTTGTCAATGGAATGGATATCTTCCAACCACTGGTTCATGCCCCAAATACCTGCACACGGCCAGGATTGGCCTGAATAAAGCCAGGATCTTGGACTGTCTTCTCAGGTTTCTAGGTGAATGCATAAACCCAAGTCCTTGAGTAATCTTTTGCTACTTTCCCAGACATATTAGCAGGCAGGTGTGTCAGAAGTGGAGCAGCCAGACCTCAAACCAGTGCCCACACTGGGTATAGGCATGCCAGGTGGTAAATTTATTCACTATGCAGCAGTGCTGGTCCCCTAACATTAAAATATTAATGTAAGCCAGGGTCTTCAAGAGACATGTCAGATTTCATTTGGTTATGCGTATAGTCATATCTAAAACTTTTAAGTGGAATCACTGTTAGTTCTTACCAGGAATATATAAACAAGCATGTCTGGTCTCCAGAGTGAGCAAAACGCTAACACCCAAGTCCTAATTTCATCAAGCTATTCTACACAATTAAAATCTCAAATATTTCGCTGTTTTATAACCAATGTTTTAAGTTCTGTATCTCCCATTTTCTCAATGTCTTCCTCAGTTAGCTCTCAGGTTGCCAAAGGGTTTTGTTCCTTTGCAGGGGAGTATTCAGTAATATTCATTTTGCCTTTGTCTCTTTTGCTCTTGGTCACTGTACTTCTGGTTAGCAGATTCTTTTTTTGGCAGTTTTCTAAGCTCTGTCACTCACAGGTCTACACTTCGATTTTACTTACTGCAGTTGGTACATGGCTTTTTTTTTTTTTTTTTTTTTTTTTTTTGCAATCAATTGTGTTACTCCCTGCAGTGAGTTCCAGGTCTGGATTCTTATGTTAGGTTTCCACCATGGTCTCCATAGCCCCCGTTCCTTTGCTCATCAATCTCCACCTCCTACAATACCGTGTTGAGGCTACAACATTGTCTGTACAGTCTGTCTCCCACTTTTAGTTGGAGCAGGTCCCAGGATTAGGAAGATGCCAGGTGTCCTGTATAGTTAGTTAGGTTGTTGTTGGTTGTGATTTTGCCAGAGCCTGTTGGCTGTTAGGTCTGAGGGCCACATGGACCTATTTTGGCCATGGTCGGTATTATTTTTCTGTGGGACCAGTACAAAGTACTGACCTCAGTGAGTTCTGGCCAAGCTCAGCGCATGCACAGCTCACTGTTGTCCCTGCTGTCTTAAAGTCATTGCCATGGTATACAAAATGGTATTTGATGTGCCACTACTAGTTATTGATCTACTGGCTGTCAGGTTTGAGGGCTACCCAAACCTGTCTTGGGTGGAACCTGTAGGATGCCATGTTGTTGCAGTACACTGAGTCAGAAATGAGTTCACTCCTAACTCAGTGCATACACAGTCCTGTCCATAGCCTTTATGTGCTTAAACAAAATGGTGCCTGATTCAGCTCTAGGGGGCAGACTGGGCTGTGAAATCCACCCTGTTCCTGCACTGCCTGTCTGGAATCTGCTGCTTTGTCTCTGCTCCTGGTCAAATCCAACAGACCAGCAGGACAGGGATATCTCTGTCTGGATTCACCTCCTGAGCTCCCGGTGAAAGTCCCTTCACACCTGGTTTTGGTGAAGTTACAGCTGCCACTCTAATTCAGATTGCTGCCTGCTGAGTGCTGCTGGGGCAACAGTCTCTGCAGCACCGCACCGTTGTGTCCACTCTTTCCTGTGTCTCTCAGTTTCCAGGTACCCCTCTGCTGTTGTTCTGTCCTCTCCTATTTCCCAGAATGTGCTCTCTGCTTCACACTGGGTAATGTTTCTCTGTTCATTTAAACGTGTTCTTACCTTATTCTGCCATCTTGATTCTCTAAAAACTCAAATATTTCCACAAACCTTTTACCAGCTGAGTTCAGTGGGTTATTCCCCTAACTTAATATAGAAATAAAAAGCCAGAAAACTATTGCAGACAACTGAAAAGTTTCATTTATGTAGTGAACCTGAAAATGAGGTTAAAGTACCTCCCAGGAAGGATATGAAAGATGGGGTATATGTCAAAAGGAGAGATACCTCAGGGTTTCAGTAAGTTTCTTGGGAGTTTAAGGGTTCCCTGACTCCTTGTCTGAGTAGAAAGCCACAGACATTGGGAAATATCTGGGCAATTTCTGTGTTATGCAGTTGAAATTCTTTTACTGGTCACTTGGTGAGGGACAAACAGGCAAGCAACAAATATTGTACATGCAAACATGGGGCAGTGAGATTATGACCCAATGAGAATGGCCTCACAAGGTTTACGAGGCTTGGTTAGTCTCAAAATCTTCTAAATTTATTCTCATTTCCCATAACAACGTACAGGTACTTACATCACAAATCATTAAACCATTTTTCTGCACTATGATTTGAATCCATTTGAGCCAAAAGGCCTCTGCTTTTTAGGCATTGTTAATATAGTTTTCAATTGATTAGTTGATTTCTTAGAATATTAACTTATTATACACAATTGAAATCCAAACTCAGTGGACAGGATAAATTTTTTTTAAAGATTTATTTTTTCTTTATTGAAGAAGAGAGGAGAGAGAGAAAGAGAGCAACCAAGAGAGCACTTCATTCCACTGGTTCATTGCCCAAGTGGCCACAAGACCAAAGCTGGGCAATCTGAAGCTTGGCACAAGGAGCTTCGCCTTGGCATCCCCATGGAAAGATTGGGATCCCTATGGAAAAATGTCTCAAGGACTTGGCCCATCCTCTGGTGTTTTGTCAGGCCATTAGCAAGGAGCTGGATCAGAAGTGGGGTAGCCAGAACATGAAGCAGTGCCTTTTACGATATTGGCAAACTAGGCAGAGGTTTTTGCCACTCCTTCAGATTTACCTAGTACTTCTAATTCTACAGCAGTTATTGACAGTGAAGGTGAGAAGGGAGAGGGTATTTGCCAGGAAAGCGATGGCTTGCTTCTCTGTCATATGTCTTTCTGTATCTAAAGTAACATTTTCCATTTTCCAAAATGTATACTCTATTTGTTCACTCTGTGTACTTCAAGGTTGGATATTTTATCTAAATGTCATTCTTATTTGTATTAGTTACTCTGCTTTCTGTCCATATTCTCCACAGAATTAAGCTGATTCCTTAAATCTGTAACTTGCAACCTATTAACAATGTTTTTCACTTCTAGTGCCTTATACTCAAACAGTTATATATTTCTTAGGAGATGCCTCTTCCCACTCTGGCTCTGCCTCTCTCATCTTGCTCTTCATGCTGCCCCCCCGCCACACACCCTGGAGAGGCTTCTTTTCTAGTCCTTGAAAAGGAAGACCACCAAGCCCCACATTAAATTCATCGTACCTACAGTGCCCTGCATGGGAAACCCTCTGTTCTAAACCCTCCTTTCTGTGGATTACAGCTTAGGCAGGGCTCCTGCTCCGTACTCTGGGAACCATGCTGGTTCACCCAAGCCAGCACTTGTCCTTTATGCTCTGTGTCCTATCCTGCCAGTAGGGTCTTCACAGAGCAGAACACTAATGGAAACTGTCCCACTCCAGTATATCTAGACATGCTTACTGGTGTGAGTCATTTTTTCAGTTGTGAGGAAAGGAGGTGTGGCTTCCAAACAAGTGAAGACTTGGGAAGAAGCAGGTCAGAAGATCACATTATTTAATGCTTGTTGTTGATCTCTCTCAGGTATTTGTGCCAGCCAACTGCCAAGTTGTCTGAAAACATAGCTGCAATGTCAATTCTTCCAGCTGCCCAGCCAACCAGAGACCAGCTACACCCCTCAGGCCCACTCACTAACACTTCACAACGGAATAAGTCCCTAAAAACAAGTATTAAATGTTTTGAGATTTTGAGAATGATGAATGAAAGAGTGACATCCCTCTGCTGGACTCTCTGGCCCTGTCCATGCCCACAAGGATGGACATATGATTGTGTATGAAGAATTACGCTATAGTAATTTTGTAGGGAAACCCAATGAAGGGGGAGGGAATTGGGGAGGGGTAAGGGAAATCCCACAATCTATGGAACTGTATCATAAAATAATAAAAAGAAACAAAATAAAAAAATAGTAACATTCCTCTCCCACTGTTTTAAATCCTTAGAAATGAAGCTAGACGATAACATTTAATCACCTTTAATATTCATGAATAAGGATGACACTACATTTCAATACAACCATCACTTAGCCCATTAATTTCTGTGACTCTGTAAACTCAATTCAAAACTGCTTTATTTTGCATAAATTGTGTTCAGAGTGGTGAGAAAGAGGGACCCTGAAGGAAAACCAAATCCTAGAATGCTGTGCTAGCACAGGTTCCTCTGCCGGCCCATGATGTCACCAGAGCATGGCTGGGAACATGTTCCAGTTATCACTGGGGACCCTAACAGAGACACAGCGGTGGCTGAAACCTCAGGCGGAGAGACAGATGTAAAGAGTCCAAGATATTCTGGGATCAGGGTAGAAGGATAATGGATGGTCAGACCGGGTCAAGCTGGCAACTGCCAGAGACTCAGCACTGTGGATCTGTGGGAATATCAACTGGGAGACACTCTTGCGCATGACCAGTGATATACAAACTTACTCAGAGCTTACCTGTACGTATAAGAGTGCCAGCAAACCTCCACTCTGCAGAGCATGGGAGGGTAAGGCAGCCCTGGGCCCAAGGGACTGGCTCAGGACAGCACCCCAAGACCTTAGCAGGAAGCAGAGGCCTCAGGTTGAGAGGGACAGTGCTGGCCATCAAGGCTTTTTCTGTAGGTGGGAGCTGAGGCTGGGCGTGCTTTGCCCAACGAGAGACGCCTCTTGGCTAGAGACTGGTGGCTGGGCTCCTGAACTTCCAGTTCCTGAGCATGACAACCATGACCACTACTAACAGTTGAATGGACATCTGTACTAAAGGATCCCTGGCAAGTGGGAGGGACTGGGTCCGGTTTCCGGGAACAGCGGACAGGGGCCCTAGGCTGTGTTGTAGAAGCTCGGGCAGCCAATGAGCGCCGGGGGACCTTGCTCACAGGTGCCCGGAAGTGGGTTCCACCACCCATGGCCAGGGGCCTAGGCAGTTTTGCAACCTGGTAGTGCCGGAGGTGCCTCAAACCCAAGGCAGCCCTCCGCAACGTGCGATCTTTCCTCTGGGATCTCTGCTCCTTGCCGGCTGTTTCCGTGGGCTGCGTGTGGTCCACAGGCGCCCGGTCCAACCCACGCTTCCACAGCTCATAGCGCTCGGGTTGCAGGATGCGCACGAAGGCGTCCATGGAAAAGGACACCTTAGCCTCCCCGCAGCTGCACTGGGAGGCCGCCTTGCCATAGTCGATCCAGCGCAGGGTGGCGAAGTTGATGGCTTCGGCGCAGTTGAAGCCGTGGTTGAAGCCCGCGTGGTAGCCATAGGGGAAGGTGACCACGAACTCGCCGGGCTGCTGAGTGACACGCTGGCACGGAATGCCGTTCTCCCGCAGCACACTGGGTGAGATGAGGGCTACCTTGTGGCGCAGGAAGGCCCGGCAGGCTTGGGCGCTGGCAGGGAAGAGCTGTGCAGCCAGCTCCTCCAGCCGCCGCCCGTGCTCAGGGGGCACCGCGTACCACGTCTTGGGCTCGCCAAAGTGCAGGTAGTTGACGCTGTAAAGGTCCATGTCCTCCGTGTGCCAGGCGAACGTGGTCTTCCACATGCCAAAGTAGAGGTAGGGGGTGTTGACGCCCTCGATGAGCACGCCGCACTCCTTCTCTAAGAGGTCCTGAATGGTGCCCAGGCTTCTGAGGTTCCAATGCATCGTGTTCTCATCAAATAAAGAGCCGCTGATGTCGGCCCCGTAAATTGGAGAACCGTAAAGGCGGTTCTTCCAGTAGATTCTCTCCAAATCCTCAAAACTGAGATGGGCTGGGGCCCGGTATTTGTTGCTGTTTGCTAGTTGGTGATAATCGCCCACACTCATGGCTTTCTTCTTCTTGTGGTACTGAGTAAAGACCCCCGCCTTCCCAGAGACTATCTGTTGGAGAGGGAGTGGTATTAAGATGTCATTGATGTCCTCATAGGTCTTTCTGGCCCTCCACTCCTTGGGTGGAATAACCTTGGCCACACCTCCGCGGTGTGCACCCTGTGATTCCATGTAAGCAATATAGTTATCAAAATCACTAAATTCTTCTTTGGTCGGATGAAATATCATTATGCTGCAATTTGGATTCTGAGCACCGTTGGCTTTAGACCTCATAGGCTTCATAGCTGCAGTTCAACAAGCTTCCAATTACCAGTGTTAGGGTATGTCAAGATGGTGCTGTCTCTCTATAAGGCAGCAAGACCTACCAGTCAACTTTTTTTTTTTTTGCAAAGAAAATAATAATCTTTTTAGACTGCTGATACACCAGGGGACTCACTAAGTGTAGCAGCTTTGTGGAGGCCCAGAGGGTCAGTGAGTCCGCAATCTCTTATGTTTCTCCCTGTCTCCAGGAGTTCTGTTGGATCAGCCAGACTTGGGTGGGTGAGACCAATGTAGTTGAGTATGTAACTGAGGGCAGTGTCTGCAACACAATCTGAAAGAAAGAATACAAAAATATTGAAGATTAATGTTTGGGAGAAAGTCATGAGGAAGTTACAAAGTGAATAGCAGAATATAAAACTACTCTTTGAAATATAGGCTAAAATTTACAAGACTATCAATGCAAAGGATGGTACAGTTGTGGAGTAGAGCAGAAATTATTTACTAGAGTGAATGTTAAGCACTACAATCATTTTGGAAAATTCTTAGGGCATTGTTTTCTGAAATGGACCACGTTCATGTGCTGTTGTGTAACTATCCACATGCCCATGGTTGCACATTCCAAGTCACTTCCAAGAATGTTCTTAATACTGTTTCTAGTGGCCAATTGTTGTCAATAATCCACATGCCCATCAACAGTAGAACGGATGAACACACTGATGTATATTCATGACTTGGAGTTCCATAAAGCAATGAGGAAGTCAGGTGAAATACAGGCATATAGATTATAAAGATAATAGGGAACAAAAATTATCCAAACCTGTTAGGAATCAAACTGTCAACATAATGACAGCATAATGAATTTTTTTTGTCTGTTAGTTTTATGGAAAACAGATAAGTTGTACGTAGGGACAGATGAGATTTTCAAGTAATGCTAATCTCTTGATAATTCATGAAACTGTAATACCCTGATGGGTGGGCGGAAGATAATGGCTTGAGTGCTGGGTCCCTGCTACCCACCTGTGAGATTCCGATTGAGAGCCAGTCTCCTGGTTTTAGCTTGACACACCCCTCCCCCATCCTAGCTATTGTGGGCATTTATAGAGTAAAATGGTAGATGAGAGATCTTTGTCCCAATACTTTTTAAATAAAAATAAATAAATAAATGATAAACCACGGTAAGAGACAGTGGATCATTTAAAATGTAAATGAAAGGAACAATTGAAAATAAATGTATTAAAAATCCAGCTGAAGACAGCATGTTATTTAAAACAGAAAGGAGTATCCAAGAAATATCAAGGATATAGATTTGATTGTTAGACTAATGCCATATGACTTTAGGACATTTGTTCCCATGACTTACACAATTGGTAGCAACCTTACCAAGACCAATTAAAAAGTGAATTTCTGTGTAGAGAAAAATGCCACTCGAAATACATGAAGAAAGAAAATGCTAAGCTTCAATGAGTGTCAGAGCTTTTCCATGCTAGTCTAACTTAGGCAGAGAATGATGGAGGTGTCCAAGGATTGGATAGAGGAGCAACAGTGTGACTGTAACGAAACGCCACCATTAGGTAGGTGCTGGGCTAAAAAGGAATTGAGAACATATGGATGGTAAAGGAAGTGTAACAGTCCTTAATTCATTGGTACTTCTAATTTAGTACTAGTGAATTTCTCCATTAGTTCAAATAATTGTTTTACGAAAGAAGGAAATGTAGGCTTAAAAAAAAAAAAAAAGGATGCTTGGAACATGTTTTTCAAATGAGGGGCAGTTGATATCCGAGTGTTTACAGATGTCCGGTAGTACTCCTAAATTATTTGACTTTATGTTATTACTCCTCAAATTATTTACAATTCCCATATTCTTCCAACATTTTGTTCTCAATATTGACTTACACACCTTCCTGAACAGATAAACTTGAGTGTTTTTCTACCTTTGTTGTAACAACAAAACCCAACATCTTAAATCTCCTATAGTTTTTTTTTTGGCACATTTCCCTTTTACCTTATGTTATGTAAATAGCACCCCAAACCAGAAAAGAAACTTTTTTTTAACACTTCATTTCCCATAGACCCTTTCTTAAGAATTTTCTATGCACTATCCCTTTCAAATAGCACAGTGAAGCATGAATTTAGTATTAATGGCATCTCCGTGGTATGGAAAAAATAAGATATTTAACTTAAAGAGCATTTGTTATCAATCTCTATAGAGTTGAAGGCCTATATTTATCTTGTCTTTCACCTAAAAACATTTTGAGAGCATTTTCCCCCTTTTCAACACTGCATTGTTCAAAGGATCTATGAAATGCCTTACATATAATAGGCACTGGAAATTTGTTGTTAAAGAACCAATTAGGTGAGGTCAATTGGTACATACTTCTTTCTTTCCTCTGGTTTATATCCACCTTTCTGTATGATTACTAAGAGTGGAGACATTCCTCTTTTGGTCTGATCTATCCATTTCAACTCCTTTAATTAACACCCCTGCTTACTCCAGGACTATGATCAGTACCCATAATCATTATTGTCTTTTTATCAGATCACTACTTATCAATCTCTTTTTTTCAAAGATTCATTTATTTTCATTGGAAAGGCAGACTTTACAAAGATGGAGAGATAGAAAGATGTTTCATCCAGTGGTTTTCTTTCCAAATGGCCACAATGACCAGAGCTGAGCCAATCCAAACCTGGGAGTCAAGAGCTTCTTCCAGGTTTCCCACGTGGGTGCAGGTTCCCAAAGCCTTTGGCCATCTTCTACTTGTTTTCCCAGGCCACAAGCAGGGAGCTGGATGGGAAGCGGGGCAGCTGGGACACAAACCAGCACCAATATGGGATGCCATGCTTGGAGTTGGAAGATTAGCCAGTTGAGCCATTGTGCCATCGACATTATTCATATTTAAGCTGCTGACCTTTCTCTTGCTTTCCTTTCAGCACCAAACATGTCAAAAACATAAGTCACAAATGAAGTTAAGTCTATATTCACAAGCCATTTTCTCATCTTTCTTCCCCATTCTGCTTCTGGTTCCTCTGCCCACAACAAGCTGTTGAAATTGTTCTTCATAAATTATCAAATTTCCCCCTGAATGTTGTTTCTGGGGTTATACTTTCCCTATACACCTCACTGGCTCACAGAATATCTTAACATATTTAGAACAAATTGATCAGTTTCTTCTTCTTGAAACTAATATTTTCCTTCAGATGTGTTTATTTTTACCAATGTGTGAAAAGTCTGCCAGTGGTCCTAGTTGCCATCAACTATCAGATCCTTCTCTCCAAGGCATATTGTCAATGACTTCTGCAGTCTACTATGAAGCTCTTTAAATCCCAGCAATGTTTCCTGGGTTCTTCTTACTTTCTTTATAAAAGAAGTAAAGGATCCAGCTTTCCGCTTCTCCCATGAACTGTGTGTCCTCATTCATGCTAGAGACAAAATTGCCTGTTATTTCACAGGCATCTCCCCATTTCACCCTACATTTAAAAATTTTATTTTTCTCCCTTTTCACAAGGTTATTTAAAGCATTACACAGTGAGAAACACACACACACACACACACACACACACACACACACACACACGGATCTATCTTCCACCTGGTGGGTCACTCTCCTAGATGGCCACAATGGCCAGGGTTGGCCCAAGGTGAAGCCAAATGCCAGGAGCTTCATCTGGATCTCCCAGATGAGTGTCAGGGATCCAGACAGTGGGTCATCTCCCAATGCCTCTGAGCAGCTGGAACATGAATCAGTACCCATATGGGATGCTGGCATTGCAGGCAGGGGTTTTACTGATTATGCCATAACAATGGCACCCAAATATTTTTTGTTAGTGATTTTATTTTACATTCTGTGTATTACACGTAGAATCAGCTATTTCATTATTTAAGTTGCTGTAAAGAAAAAAGTGGGGCAGTAATTTGATACAGAAATTAAGGCACCACTTGGGACACCTATATTTTATTTTGGAGTGCCTGAGTTTGACTCCTGTCCCCGACTCCAGCTTCCTGCTCAAGTGCTTCCCACGGGCAGCAGCTGATGGCTTACATAGTTGGGTCCTTGCTTCCTACCTGGGGGATCTGGAGCTTTTGGACTTGGGCCTTGGCTTAACTATTGGTTCTGACTATTGTAGCTTTGAGGAGTGAATCAGAAAATGGGAGCAGTATTTTTCCTCCTTTCTTCCTTCCTTGCCTCCTTTCTTTTTCTTTAACTCTTATTTTTTTCTCTCCATACCTCTGGAATAAATATTTCTTATAAGGCCCATTTTATTTATGAAGGGCTGAGTTACAGAGAGAGAAAAGGGGAGAGCTACAGAGATCTTCTAATCACTGGTTCATTTCCCATTTGATCACAATGGCCTGGGCTGGGTCAGGCCAAAGCCGGGAGCCAGAAACTTCCAGCGGGCCTCCCTTGTGGGTGCCGGAGCCCAAGCACTCAGGCCAACCTCCACTGACACCCCAGGCACTTTAACATGGAGCTTTATAAGAAGCGGAGCGGCTGGGACTTGGAATCAGTGCCCATATTGGTTGCCAGCATCACCAGCATCACCAGCAGTGGCGGAATGCATTATGCTACAACAGCAGCCTGAAGAATTTTTACAAGAATTTTTAAAAGTGCCATTGTTTAGAGAGTTCAGTATCTGAAAGTTAAATACTATGCTGAAGATCTTTCCTCCTCAAGAAATAATAAACTGCTCACTAGGACTATAACATAAGCCCCCACGTTTTATTGCATATTCAATTAAAATAAGCTTCAAATTCTATTCTATGGTGGTCTCAAAAAGCTTTTGTATGAGACTGTCTTCTTGCTTCTTTCAAATGAAGTGACAAGCACCAATAAATAGTCTGCCATTTCAGATTTTTCTGACCCACAATAACATCAAAATCTTCATCTAAGGAACGACAACAAAGAAAGGTATTTGGGACCCGGCACAGTAACCTAGTAGCTCAAGTCCTCGCCTTGCATGTGCCAGGATCCCATATGGGCACCAGTTCTAATCCCAGCAGCCCCACTTCCCATCCAGCTCCCTGCTTGTGGCCTGGCAAAGCAGTTGAGAATGGCCCAAAGCCTTGGGACCCTGCACCCGCATGGGAGACCCAGAAGAGGCTCTGGGCTCCTGGCTTTGGATTGGTGCAGCTCTGGCCATTATGGCTGCCTGGGGAGTAGATCATTGTCCAGAAGATCTTCCTCTTTGTCACTCCTCCTCCTCTCTGTGTATCTGACTTTCCAATAAAAATAAATAAAGCTTAAAAAAAAAAAGAACTATCCATTTTGACGACTTGTTTAGAAAAAGAAGAAGATAGGTATTTGAAGAAAACTATTTTCTTCCTATCAGAATGGT